TGGACTGTGTGGGAGGAAGCCGGAGAACCCGGAGAGAACCCACGCTGCACGGGGAGAACATGCAAACTCCACGCAGAAAGATTCCGGTGCCCCCTCCAGGACGCAACCCGGTGACCTTCTTGCTGCGAGGCAACAGTGCTAACCACCGCTCCACCTTGCAGCCCCAGAACCCGATGTTTCAAAGCAAAACATTGCATTAACTGGATTATAAATGATATTCACTTCACCTGTCAGTGGCTTTAATGCTGTGGCTGATTGAAATACGTCCCTGCATCGTGGACAGCTTTTTGCTCGGCACAGTCTACACCTCGGGACTGTAAAGCCTGAGGCATTGTAACAGTAGTGTCTATTCAGCATCCTTCCAGGACTTCACCCAGAGGCCATGTGTAGGTACACTCACACACTTTCCTTCATCTAGTCACACAAACTTTTCTTTCTGTGCACACTATTCATACACACAACTTCTGAAGGCAGAATGAAGCATGGCAATTCAACACATGCAGGAGACCAATTTGGTGAGAAGGAAGAAGCAGGGGAAAAAAAGAACATGCAGCAATGACAAATTCCAGGACATTCGCCCTCTTAAATCTTTTTTTTTTTTTTAGGTGATCCACAATCCTTTATGGTTTATGTAGCAGGCTGTCTGCTCCTGCTGACCCAGCACACACTCACCATCTGTGACTGCTCAATACCGATATAATATGCTAACGTATGGGACCAATACTGCTGATGGTCAGGCTATGTTAAAAAACTATAGAGGTATGCAGTTATTTTTGTTTTTACTAAAGAGCCGGTCCCAAGCCAACGTGCAGATCTGTACGAAGGAAACCAAGCAAGCGATCTGCTTAACTTAGCACCTTAGAGCTTGCTCCTTTTGTTACTGAGAATTGTCAGCGGTGGGAAAATCCTGTATCTTGTTTCCACAGCGTGAGCAGCTACTTTACAGTCTGATACAGGACCACAGACACTTGTTCAGTGTACTGCATGTGATATTTCTAATGGTGTAATACCTGTTCTGTACATTTAGTCTCATTGCACATATTAACACCGTGTGTTTTTGACTATGCTGGCTTTTGTTTATCACAACTATCAAAATGAAAAGGTCAATGCCGATCATTTGACTCGTCTGCATGATCCTTTCCCTGCCCTGGGCTCACAGCCTGGCTTTAAACTCCAGACCGTTGAAAATGAGTGGGACTTTAATTTAATATAATTGACATTTAGAGAACATTTACAGTTTATGAACAATTCTGTGGTTGAGCTATGACGTGTAATGAACTACATGTGCAAATATGAGTCACTGGAACACTCAGGGATTAACTTCTGACAATATTTGCGTATGAATTTGATTTATCACAGGTCTCCTACATTAAGTTGGTATTAATAAGGCCTTGGATTAGCAAGGAGGCTGGAACAAGTATAAAGACAACCACACAAAGAGCTTAACAGACATTAAAACAGTGTGTGGTGTAGCTCAGCAAGATCACATTTTCTCACTATTGCCAATCTGTAGAAAAGTCTAACCCTGACCCACATAACTGTGGTACATAAGCTGCACGCACATCAAGAAGAGTATATAATGTATTAAAGCAAAGGGGGGGAAGCATACAGAACATAAGAATATGTAAAAAGGAAATTAAGGGATTAGCAGTCAGATTTGTTAATCCTTATTGTGTTGCTCATATTTGCACGCAGATGGTTTGCGACACTCATAAACACCTCCAAGTTTTATATGACACCGGATTATGTGACAATGTTTAAAACTCTGCCTTAGAGCGGATTAAACTGCGTTACAGCCCATCATTCTCAAACTTTGACAACATAAAATCGTGGCAACTGTGGGAGTTCCCGGTGTTGATAGTGTTTTATTACCATGTTATTACTTTGAAAGGAAAGTTTTCCAGCACCTGTGAATGTTTTTATAACCGAGACCAATACCTTTGTTTTTAAAAAAATGCCCTCAACAATGTGGAAGAGTGTAATAAGATATATTATTATTACTATTGTTACTATTTGTTTCTAGGTCGCTCACACTGTTGAATCAAACGGCACAAAAATAAGCACTGTGAACTTACATGACAATGCGGCGGTTCAGGAACCAGTATTTACGGTGGTGTCGGTCGTATCCAACCGGTAGTTGACGGATAAACGGTTTGCTCTTCTGCACTTCTGGGATGCAGTCCGCCACACCAGGTACCTTGTGCGCCACACAAACCTCGCACTGCCACTCATCCTCTGGCACTTCCTGCAACGGCGGCTTCACGCACTCCAGATGGTAAACGGCTGAACACGTCTCACAGCACAGCAGGTCGCCGAGACGGTGGCACACCCTGCAGTGATCGTCGTAAGCAACCACGCCTTCCGACATCAGCTCCTCCCGGGCAATGTTGGTCGCCAAGAACTGGTCCACCAAAAACTGAAGAACTTTAATTTTACCATCCAGCGGTTCATAGGGGTAATCCTCGCGCTCCTGGAAAGGCAGAATGTGCCGGTACTCCGGGTCGCTCTCGCAGTACGCCCGCACCACCTCCGGCCAAGTCATACCATCGACAAAGTACAAAGTGGAGTTAACAGAGTCCTTTACGTCAGCAGGACCAAATGTGGTGTTGGAAGTGTCCTCCTCTCTGAGAATAGCTTTGAGCAGGGAGATGTGGGTCTCTGCCAGCAGCGTGCACTGCTCCTGGCTAGCCAAGGCTGCACAGAAATCCTCAAAGCGGAACGGGGAGAGCCGCAAGACTGTGCCAAAGTTGCGTAGGACCTCGTAGACGGCAGACACATTGAGGAGCTGTGAGGTAGGAACCAGGAGGTCCTCAGAGGACTTGGGAAGCTCCAAGGCAGGAATGTCCTTTGCCTCAAGAATGGGAGAGTGTGGTCGCAGTGCCCGATTCCTTCTTCGGCCTGCAACAAGTAAAAGGAAAAAAGAGTCAGGAAAAGGGAGGAAAAAATAAATAAAAAAGGGTGGCATAAAAACAGCATGTATATATATGCACAGGAATGCAAACCAAACTGGAATGAGCTCTACTGCATATGTTACCAATAGACTGTGCAATCTAATATCTGAACGTATTTGCATCCTTGACTTTTCCTTGACTGCATTCTCTGATTTTGCAATACTAAAGTGTCTGCAGTTAATGCAGGCACTGGGGAATACCCCTGGGCAGACATGTGACAATCTTACACTTTTCCTTTTAGGATCCCCCAAGAGGCATCCCTTAAGTAACACCAGTGCACTTGGGTAGATCCAAGAGCATATCCTGTTCTAATAAAAAAAAAAAAAGCATCAAATATCAGTATGCTAATGGAATCAGGCACCCTGGCCCTTACAAATACCACACGGAACAAGTGGAACATTTAATTTTGAGGAATCACAGACAAATGCTAAAATGAAATGGGTCATTTGTATCACTGTGTGGCATCGGAAGTGACATTATAAAAATGCAGACAACATTCTGGTCCCTGGCCACAACAGCTACATCATTCAAGCTAATTTAGAAGCCTGTCTTTGTTTCTCTGGGGAGGATGCAGATGGTGCAGCATATGAACCGTACCTGCAAATTCCCTCTTGTCTGTGTGTGTGTGTCTCTGTGCACACTATCCTTACATTGAAACATTTCTGAATGGTGGAATAAACTTGAATTTGTGATTGATTTCAATGGGTCACTGCAGGTCAACTGATCCGGCCTCATGATCCCCCAAGTGAACGAGGCCATCTCTATAAGACTCTATAATAACTATGGTGTATAGTAGTAGTCATTTTTGCATTATATAGTAAATACTGGTGAGCACTTCTAGTTTTCTTTTCACAATCTCAGAGATTCTGTGACTCTATTGCAGAGTGTAAGATGATACACTAACTTTTCATAAGTGCTACACAACCCTTTATCCACACTATTAGCCATGGTATATTTTCAGTGTAAGAGCTTGTAATAACTGCTGATGAATTGGAAACTGTTTTGGAGATATATTTGTGTTAGGTGAGGTATACAAAGTATGGCTTACCAGGGATGTGTAAACAGTGATGGGACAACAGCAGCAAAACAATGTTTAAAAAAAAAAACTTAATGGATCTAACAAGGGTGGACAGCAGGTTCTATGCAGCATCTAACATGAGAACGTGCATGTAAAATGTGTCTGAAAACACCATGGATACATCTGTCGGCAGATGACAGTAAAAGCATCGTAATTTCTGTCTGTCACCGTGGGTCTTATGAAAGGCCCCTCACACTTGGCTGCACAGCGATGCCATGTTCACACATCTTTAGCAAAAGCAGGCAGCCTGATCATTAGAAGTCGAGAGGTATGTGTGTAATCCCTGAACCACTTCAACTGCATCTAACCAGAGTGCAGTCAACAGGGTGCATGGATCGAGAAATCAAATCTACATTTGGATATTACTTTCTGATGAATGCAAAAGATGTTGTTAGTTGATAGTAAATGTATCCCAACAATACATTTATGACAAAGAGTGAGCATTTACTGTTGGCAGATATTGAAAAAATCTAAAATGCCCCCCAACTGCAAAAAATACATTTAAAAAAATCAGTGTCTGCACCTTTACAGCTATTTTTCTAATGATATGTGGAATCACTTGCAGCAGCTGGCATACTCCACCCAATGCATTGCATTACATAACACATGTGTCAACTGATGTTTTTGCAGACAGACTTTATTAACGTGACTGTCCGTGACTGGAGAAGAAGTGATGGATCTAATTTCCTCACCTGATAAACATAAGTGTGGTTACTATGGTAACCGTGCACCGTGAAATGAGTTGAAGTGTTTGCAACAAGTGCAAAAAAAAAGAGCGCTTCTCTTCAAAATACCCGCCTGTCAAAGTCATTTAGCAGCATTATGCAACTAAAATATGTCTCCTGGAAGCGAACTGGAAAATGTAGCAACTGTGCACAAAAATCTGAAACAATGTTTTTTTTTTTTAATGTTACTGGATACAAATGTATGACGTCCTGCACTTTTGGGGAAAAAAGTAGCAATATGAACTGTCAATCCGTTTCCAGTTGTAAAAAAAAAAAAAATGTTATCAAATTCCGTGTTTTGGTGCTGCGTAGCTCACATAGCACAAACTACACTTACTGTGCAAAAGTAGAAATGCAATGAATGAAATAAATAGAAAGTCGCAAATATACTTCACGCATCCTGTTTCTCTGCGCTTCGAAAAACAAATGGAAAGCATCGCGCGTGAAAATAGCGTGAAAAAAGCACGGCGAAATTCTTAATAACAAAATGACAACAAAAAAAATGTGCTGATCCGACAAAAGTCAAAAACACGAGAGCCGGTTGAAGCGTGGAGCAGATCTGCAAGCCAGCGGCCAGCAGAGCACACGGTAAACAAAGGCCTGTTTCTGAGTGCAAGCTCCATTTTGAACAATGCGGCTTGGTTTCTGTACTGAGCTAAAAATAAAATGCACACTTTAAGTAATGCAAACCTGCTTTGGCAAAGTGCGTGCACTTGCAAACCAACGTACCTGGGGTGCTCCCGAGCGTGCTGTGGCTCCTAAAACTACTCTCGGTACAGTAGCTGGCATCATCCTCCTCTGGTAGTTCCTCCAGATAGTCAGAGTCGTTTCCCAAGGCCTCCTCCTCTTCTTCAAGATCCGACGAAGGGTTGTCGTTCAAGAGTTCATCTTCGTCTGACCGGTAGCTGAAATTATCATCCTCCTCGTCGCTGTTGTCGTCGTACACCACCTTAGTTTGAGGCCGCCTCACTCCGCCTCTACCGCCGCGGCCGCCTCTCGACCCCCTGCCTCTGCCTCTACCTCCTCTGCCCCGCGATGCCGCGGCAGCCGCGGTGGTGGAGGATCCAACTTTCCTGCGGCCCCGAGACGAATGAAAGTTCTCTCGGCCGGAGATTTCTGTATCCACCTCCAGAGAGCCAGTGGCGCAAACGCCAGCACTCACACCCCGTCCCCGAGCCCGTCCTCTGCCTCTTCCCCGTCCACGCATCCCTCTGCTCCTGCCGCCCCGAGAGCCGCGGACTGGCCCGGGTGAACCTTCCCGCATCACGGCTGCTTGTTTGGGCGGCCTTCCTCTTCTCCCTCTCATTGTGGGAGAGAGTCTCTGCTGTTCCGCTTCAATCTCGGTGCTTGGGTGAGCCACACACACCGGAGAAAAACGGGGGGGGAAAAAACTGACAAATCGGGCGACCGTTCCCGATTGGTCCCCACCAAGCCCCGGTCTCAATTTCAGGGTGTAAAGCTCAAACTGAATGGCCGGTGTCCCGCTCTGGGTCGCCTGCAGACGCCATTTTTCTTCTCGACTCTCCCTCCGTTGAAAACACAGCAGGCCTCAGAGCTGCGTCAAGCTAACGTCAGTTAGCAGTGGTTGGACCTGGAATGAAGCGTTCTTTCCTTCAAAATAAATACACTAAAAAGAAAAACAATGACAAGAATTATGTAATCCCATGTATATAGAACAAAATATAACTGTCGGTCTTGATCATATGAATTATTGATTGGTTCCTATGATAGTTTCCATAACCCAGTAATGCGTTTTACACGATTTCATGTTAAGGAGTTCGCTATAGCAGAACCGGAAGTTGTATTTGTACTCTCTAACTTGACGCTAGCAGGCCTGAGTGGGTACGAGGTCACGTGACTCACTATTCTACAATAGACGCAATTGCCGTGCTAGTTCATAAAATTAGTTATCCATGCAAACGCTACCCGCCAGTGCTACTTTAATAGCGTTTGCTGCTTCTGGTGGATGCTTTCAATTACAGGTGGGCCGAGTATTTTTGGAGAAAAACCATCGTTCGTTTTCGGCCATGTCGCCATCGTCGTCACAGCAAAGCGAGGCGAGAAGATAATACGTCCGACATTGAGCTCTATTACATGGACATAAATAAGCCATCATTAAAGTTAATACCGCGCGTATTTTTGCACGTGGCTGCTGCTGCAATTTATTCATCAAATAAACGCATTTCATGCAACTTTAAAATGAATTTTTATTTGTTTTTTTCAGTGAGTTAACTGAAACAAATCAGGAGTGATGCTGCGCTCATTAGCATTTCAAGAGTAGCAATAGCGCAATCTTCTGCGTTTGACTTTATGACTGAGATGTAGATAATGTTGATCTGTGCTCTTGTTTCTTTTCTTGGTCATTTGTCCAGCTTGTTCAGTAGCAGACGAAGTAAAACAACAGTAGCCAGTTAGCAGGCTAAAGAGATGGGAAGCAGTCTTTCTCATTGTTTTGGTATTTTAGATTTTTGGTCAGTCTAATCTATGTATATGTGCAGTTAGCTTCATATTCCCACTAATGCTGGAAAAGGGATATCTGTTGTCGTGGCCGAGTGGTTAAGGCGATGGACTAGAAATCCATTGGGGTCTCCCCGCGCAGGTTCGAATCCTGCCGACAACGTTAGTATTTTGTTCTTCTTGGTGTTGTGTTCTGGAGGGAAACCTTACATACGTTGTAATTCCAGAACTAGCTAAAGCTCAATGTTTTGTTGACCCTCAGCTCCCTAAGAGCCACAACAACCTCACCAAATCACTGGCTTCTGTTCAATCGACTATCATATTATTTCCTTCACACATTTTTATATTTCTATTTTCCTCCCCCCACACTGCACCCATTCACATCGAAGTGTACAAAACTAAAATAAAAGCAATGCATTATTAGTCACTAAAATAACACAAACGCTGATGCATCCCAAATTTAATCACTGTCCTGATACCTGACAGCATCTTTTCGTAAAAAAATAAAGTCACACGTGGATTAACAGTTTCCTTTGTGTTATATATTTATATTCAACATGAGAGGTTTTCATGTGGAAAACCCAGTATAAAGACGCAACTGTGAGATTTACAAAATGTTCAGTTGTGTGAGGAAGCATACAAGAAGAAAAACAAGAATTCACTCTCACAGTTACAGTTTCAGAGGCAGCGAGCCATCAGAATTACAAACCATTTCCACACTGCTGAATGAGGCGGCTTTTGCATGTATTTTACACATCTGTATGAGCAGACAGTAAATTAAAAATGCAAACCATGTTATCCAAAATTTCATCAGCTTGAACAAGTTTTAAAACGTGGTTCAAAGACATCTGCAGCTTACTCAAAAACATTTCATCAGGAACTTTTTTTTTCATGTGCAGAAACTCTTGTAACATCTGCACCAAAAAGCACTTTGGGACAAAACATAACCTTGAAACCGCTTTCGATGAACAGCTGGAACGAGACAGTATTCTCAAGCATTTATTAAAATTACTCTGTATACATGCTAAAACAGCTCAATGACTTCAATTGAGTATTGTCCGACGTCCTTCTTCACCTTTGTCTTTTTAAGCTCTTGGAGGCTGACCTCGATCTTTCCCAGCTCAGAAACTAGTCTCACCTGAGGACACAAAAAAAAAAGACATTTTACATTTCTGATAAAATTGCATTACTGTCCATGAAGCCCTCACACAATGCGTTTTATTCTTTATGCTGGAACCCACACCAATCCCCAACAGTTAGGAACTACGTCTCTTCATTACTACAATTAAAAAGCTTAAGTGGGTGTTTATGAAAACGGGAAACCTGTTACCTGAGACTTAACAAAGTTGTGGAGGCTCAGCAGTAAGCCTTTGGCCTCTGGAGTCATCACCAGCACTGTAAAATGGGCATCCAACATCAAGCATACCCAATCCATGACCTACAATGAAAACACAAAGGAAAATAGAGTTAGCAATGTAATTCTTTTCAAACTGGAAGAGCATCTCATTTTTTTTTTTTTCCCTAGTATCTTTTAGTAATGTTTGTGCTGTCATGTGCTTGCTGAGGCTAAAAATAGGTGTATCTTTTGATATCAGATGATCGCACATGACACAAAAATGCTGCATCTTCATGGAATGCATTTCCTTACAATTTATCTCTTCTGCTTGTATGCACTATGGCTGAACTAAATCCAGACAGTTCAGGTCTGACCTCCACCACATTCAAACTTAAATCTGTCAGCAGGGTGAAAAAAACCCATATATTCTTTGCCTCCAGACTTGTCACTTAATGTATCCATGCTGGGATGACGGACAGTAACTGCAGTGACATGTCAAGCGGGGCCACCCTCATTACCCGGTTAGACACCGATACAAACCTGAGCCAGACTTGGAGATCTGCATCCAGGCATGTGTAGGGAATCATCTTGGGAATATTTTAGGTAGAGAAACTTCAGGTACTGGAGGAAAAGCTGGTCGGACGAAAAAAGAAAATGACAAATGTAACAGCTGTTCTGGAACGTGAACTCAGCACTGGTTGGTTTGTTTTAGAGAAAAAGGGGAAAAAAAGGCTTGCCGTTACTCACAACAACATGCTGGGAAGAAAGGTCCTTTAGGTGTGGGAGGAGGAAAGTTTCACTGTATGCCGTCAGCAGGACCTCATTTCTGTGCACCTTGAGTTAAGATCTCAAACATTCATATTTCTGTGCGACTTTAAATTCAAATCATTCAACAGACAGTGTGCAATAGCGCTGTCGAACTATACCACCGATAGATATTGTTAGGCAACTGGCACAAAGTATAAAAATATCTGACAGAGATAAAGTTTCAGTTGAATGCGAGGATACAGTAGAACGGCCTTATGTAAGCCCACAGGACAAATCAGTTCTGGTGGAGCTGCCTTCTTCTTGGCTTGTGTTCTGGTCTGATGGCCGCTGACATCGTTTGAGCCGTCCTCCTCACAGGAAGTGGAGCTAAAGCCATTCTGCAAGCCAACCTGGCCGCGCTCTCTTGAGATTAGGGTTTCCATGAAAGAGACGCTGTCAGGCTCCAGGCTCGCTTTCTCCGCATCGACATCTGGCATACTGGAAAAAAAAAAAAAAAGAAAAAAGTGAGAACCAAGCAGTGTTATTTCTGTCACTAGTGTCAGGCTAATGATCAGTTCATTAAATCACTACACTACATCGACTAAGCTGTATGAATAATATCAAATGAGTTTCATTGAACTAAAAAATGTAAATTAATAGTTTGAAGCCGCTATTTTAGAATTAGAAATTGTTTTACTACCCCTCAGTGCTCGAATCAAATTGACACAGAAATCAATTAACGATCCATTTCAGTGTTAATTGTAGTAGTCGTGCCCTTAACAGTGATCCATATTACCTGATGAATGTCTTGAGACAGGCACAGGTGACAGCTTCTGGGATGTCGGGGAAGAACTGCAAGCAGAGCTGACACAGGAAGTAATCTTTCTTCTCAAGGGCCAGCAGCACAAGGTCTGGACACACACTGTTGAAGGTGATAATGGTAAATTGTTATGATCAAGAGAATCAACACTGGTATTTACTCCTGGTAATTACTTGTCTGGCATATAGAAATGGAGTTTGAGACATTCGGTTCATGTCTTTTGCATTAAAATACAATCCTTTATAATGATATCTTCATTCAAGTGTGGGTTCTGGCATTTATAAGAGTATTAAAGTTCAGAAATACATTCTGCAGACGGAAGAATGATGAAGCTGTTTTATGAATTATATTTGCATCTTCTATTATTGTTGCACCGACACACCAGAACAAATTCCTCGTATTGTGCAAACTATACCTGGAAATAAACTTGTTTCTGATTCTGAATTATCATCTTGTAATTTCATCATCCGGATCCCGTTGCCCTGCCTTACTGACCTGTGACAGAGGTACCGAGTGTGCACAAGCTGTGACAGGGTACTGGGGGCGTAGAAAGCCGGATCAGCCAGACTTCGGGACACGAGGGTCGACGCTAGCTGTCCCACTGAGGGCTGCAGGTCCTGGAGGTCCGCCCTGGCTAGGAGCCCCTCCACCTCTTTCTGGACCTCTTCTATCGGCGCTGTCTGCACGGGAACAATAAAATATTTTATCATTTCAGAATTGTTTGGTATCAATTCAATCGTTTCATTAACTCATGACAGCATGCAGATTTAGTATTTTGCTAAGAGCCATGATAAATCTGACTTTACCTTGATGAGCTCCAGTACTTGGTCAATAGTTAAACTAGGGGTTGATTGGGTCTTACGTGTTGTTCTCTGTATGGGAAAAAAGAAAAAGATGAGAATCATATGAAGGATCTACCAGACAACGGAGGAATCAGTAAACCTGGACTCTTCATGTGGCACTAAAGACGGAAGAGACTTTAAAAGTTTGAAATGAATTGTTGATTTGCAAGGTTTATTCAGTCATTTCAAAGGTGTGGCTAAAACGGTTTTGAGAAGCAAATCTTTAAAAATTAACTTAGGTTAATTTCTGTAATACGACAATGTCCCCATCGTCATATTACATCATTTTGCACATTGTGTAAATATATTATAAATATCATATAAAGCTGGTACTTAATGAGTGGAGTCAGTACACATCTTTTTTATTTACTGTTGTTCTGGGAAAAGCTAAGTTGAGTTTTCAAGGCAGCTGTGTGGGCGACTGATGCATTTGCAATTCATTTAACAAAAACTGACTGACTGTAACTAAATAAATGGTCTTATAACGAGGTTATCCAACATACCGTCTTCCTGGTCTCCACTGTTCTGGAGGGCTGAGCTTTCTCTCCGTGCAGAATGTTATTCCATGATGGTACAAAAGCTGGAGCTTTGGATTCTGTGGCCGAGAATCATGTAGAAATGTGCATCAATTATGGGAAATACGTACGTGAACATATGGTTCATCATTTCAGCAAGAATTATTTCTGGTAAACGAGTGAAGTAAGAAGTTATTATTAGTAATTTTGCTTTTTAGCTCACCTTCAGTCTTGGCCTGTCTTAGCTTTCCCAGGGCAGAGGCAAGAGAGGATTTGGGGCATTCAAATGGTATAACTGAGAGGGTTTTCCCATGTGGAATAAATACTTTATTCGAATAACTCCAGAGCTATATCAGAGAAAAAAAACAAAAAACAAAATCAACACAAAACAGCATTAGAGGTGCAAGTGAAGTAGATAAAGTTCACAAATCTTACCTGCCAAACTAGTCTATTCATGCATCAGTTTTAGAATTGTAAACTGCTATTAAGTTGTGAGGAGGGACAGTGAGCCCCATCACAGTGGAGAGCAGACACAATGTTCTACCAAAGTCATACAGTCCTCCATCAGCACCCAGCAGCTGGAAGGACAGGGAACCTTGGCCTGCACTAATAATAACCTGAGAGAGCACTAGGTAGTTCACGGACACTTCTAAAGCAAGCAACAAAAACTCATGTACACGTGTATGAGCTCCAGGGCCCGACTGCTGGCATGGCCTACATAAAACCAGCCATTTAAAAAAAACAAAACATAAGCTTGCTGGTTTATATGCAGTGAATAAACAACACATTCCTACCTGTCCATAGATTTTACCCGCCATCTCTTTTCCTGCTTGAAGAGTCTGAAAATTGGTATTCCAGATACAAAGAAAGTCTGAAACATTAAAGACAGAGAGTCAGTCAGAAATCATGCACACTCATAGCTAGTGCTGAGAACAGATCAGATACACATCTTCAAGTCATCCTTCTGATATATTTATCCTGAAAACAAGGTTCAAAAGTCAAAATTGATGCAGCTGAAGGCTAGAATAATGTCAGCCTTGTATTCATTTGAGTGCAAATAATTTACACATCTAAATTAATCTTAGTTTCAGAAAACTAACTTTCTGTAATTTTGCCACAAAACAAAATGCAGAGAGTGGATACAGGCCAGCTATGAATCATCACACATGATCCTTGTATGAAGTGATGTCTGTTTGCCACACGGCCACTACTCGGTGTGAGTTTTTCCAATTAAGGCAGACCAGGCAGAGGTGTAAATATAACATGTGCACAGAGCCAGTGAAGCTTTTCTCTAACTGGCCAATCAAGATGGAAGACACGGGCAGGTAGGACAATATTGACCTACATTTAATCAGTATTCTGGTGTGAACTTTGCAGACTAAAACCTTTGGGACAAAGCTCCTTTGTGCATGCTGACTCACTAGCAAGACAGACTAAAAGCTTTTTAATATATGCCAGACTGACTTCAACAAGATCTGTGGTGCATAGGAGGAGTGAAAACCAACAGCATGTTTATTTGGGGCACTGTAATTAATTGTCATTTACCTTTACCGGCTCCAGCAGAGGGGTGTGGAACCCCGACAACAGCTACATGGGCTTCATCCAGGACCATGGCTGATGCCGCCTCCAGCAGGCCGTCACCGACAGGAAGACCCAGCAGGAGGTTACGGGGCAGTGGGAGAGCCTGGGCCCCTTCTTCAGCCGCCAGGCCCTGCACAGAGACTACACTCTGGTACACATGACCGTTAGGATCTGAATGCCAGAAAAGCAATGAAGAGGAAACGTGTTAATCTGGGAAATGAAGAACTAACACCACTTATGTCATTTTTCTTGCATGTAACATCTCGAGGAATATTTGATGTTAGAAGCTAATGAGAATTAGTGATGCTGACTGTGAGCAAGGGCAAGTCAATGCCAGAAACACTGAAGGGATGACTGAATTGATACTATAATACTTTATATGTTACTTCTTGAATTGTATGGCAAACATAACTAACCACCATTAACGTAGGTCTTTCTTCACAAACCTCCTGTCCTGCTGCACCACCAAGTAATTAAGTTGCTTCCATTGTCTAGCAACGTCACTACTCAAATGTTTTTTATGTTTTCCATATTGTGATATCTTCTGTGCTGTGCTGAGCCTCTATTTTCTTTTTCAAGACTATAAAAGTAGCTCACGCTGTGAAACGCCGACGCTAAAAATGTTTCCACAGGAAATTCAGACTTACAGAGATAAAGTAGGTGGATGTGTTTATCTCTGTAGGAGGTCGAGAAGCTGAGCGGGGAGACACCAGGCTCCTCTCGCTCTAGCCGGTACCTCTGTAAAGTGTTCGGGTTCAGTCTCTGCAGGTAGAGGAAATGATCTCCTTTCTGTGGGAAGACATTGACAAAGCAAACAGGCATTTAGAAACATCAATATGCAGAGCAGATGCAAATGTCCACAGAGAAAACATGAGCTGTTGTTTTAACTTAAGAGCTGTAATACAAAGGCAATAAATGCTTGAGATCTTACGGAAACCTACCTGTTCAGTTGTAAAGATGACAAACTGCTGCCTCTCTGCCACTATGTTGGTGCTCCACCTAAAGACAAAAAATACAACACACACATCAAGAGAAAATGCCTCAAACTGCAGCACAGCATTTGAAATTAGGATGTTTGCATGCTAGAAACCTGATATTCTCTTCTTGAGCCAGGACTTCTTCTATGGTTTGCTGGGGAGCAGCAAGCAGGGAGTCCAGCAATCTCACAGCTCCTCTCTTAAACAAGACCACAGGCTCCCCTCCATGGACGCAGTGGATCATCCAGATATCTGATGACACCTGGACAGACAGCAGACACAGACGGCATAAGCTAGAATGTCTTCAGTTTTGTCAGCAATCATTAGGGGCATTCATAATGACATTTAAGGTTGGTTACTCTAAAAACACTGTGGAGAATTTTAGGAGGAAGGAAAGAAAACAGGAAAAACACATCCTTTTAAGTTTCTATAGCTTAAGTTAAGCACAATGGAGATAGAAGAGAAAAACAACTTGTCCAGACTTACAGTTGCTTTGAAGGCTTTGTCTAAGAGTACGTCTTCTTCTTTCCAAATTCTGATCACCTTAAAAACAAAAACACAGCAACATTATAATGTGACAGAACTTTCAGAAAGGTCAGATCTGTGCAGACATGTTGGGAAATTAACAAAGCAAAACACAGATGAGTCCAAGGACCACACAGTGTAAATTAAAGTGATTAAAATGTAAGACATCCAAAAATGTGTGGTGTATTAATGTAGAAAAATGGACCTTAAACTATAGGTACAACAAAACAGATAATGCAAACATGGTAAGCAGGTGGATGGGAGAATGAAGCCATGCAAAAGAAAAGTAGTAAACTACCAAATAGGGCTGGGCCGTATCATACGGTGCACGGTAATACCAGTGTAATGTTAGGCGATGATATGAAATTGAAATATTGCGATAAAATGTGAATGAAACGCGGTTGTGCAGTGCTGTTGTTTTCGTCCGGTCTAATGCACATGGAGTTAGAAGCAGGCGGCGACCGAGGAGGATGCAGTGCATTGACTGACACAGTAGGGCTGGACCCGAATATCAGAATATTCGGCCATTGTGGTGGTGTCCGCATAGCAATTTTGAGATGCAAATATTTGCCCGCCCCCTGCCTTCACCCTAAGTCAGGTGGGATAGGCTCCAGTCCCCCGCGACCCTAGTGAGGATTAAGTGGCGTATAGATAATGGATAGATGTTTGCCTGCCACCCGCCGCAACCACCACCCCCACCACCCGATGGTGGAAACAGAAGTGTCACCACTATCCTGAACTGGCATCAGCAGCCAAGTACTGCCTGTGCATCCAGTCCACTTCCACCCCATCGGTCCAAATATTCACCCGCTGCTACACCCCCCAGAAATTGCTCTTTTTTTATTTGCACCAATAAAGTTGTGCAGTTTTGAGGCATTTTGTCTAGTGTCAACGATATCATCAGTTATATCGTTACTGCAAATTTTCTCATTTACATCGTGATAACCATTTTTGGCCGTATCACCCTGCCCTACTACCAAAACACAAATGAAACTGAAAAAGTACTATTCAGGTCATTGCAATTTCAATAAACTTGGTGCTTATAGCTTATAACGGTTTTATGCTTGATAATTGAATGGAAAAATAAAATAACCACCCCTGTGTGGGTTTCGTTTACTTCGGGTGCAAACCGATAGTCGTTCAGTTGTGGTTCAGTGTGACTCTGTACAGATGCTGCACCAAGAATGTTGTGTACCAGTCTCCACCTGCACAGTACAAGAATGGCAGAAAAAGCTACCTTGTTGTCTGAGACCGCCACATATTCCTTGGTTTGTGGGTTGAAGACTGCAGAACAGGTCAGAGTTTGTCCTTGTTTCACCGTCCAGCTGCCCAGGAGCTTCTGGTCTGACACCTGCCACCACATAAAAGAGGGAAATAATTCATAAAGGGTTCAGTTACTTACATATACAGCTGCTGCAGATCAGCACAGAGCTAACTGTTGACCACTGTGGCCTGAGGTGTCGAGTAAATCAAAGTTTTAGTGTGTTTAGATGCTCCAGTGTAATTAGCTGACAACAGCTAAATGAGCACAAAACCTGCCAGTTAAAAATCTGTTTATCCAGATGTGCGTGACTTCTTGTGAGCAAAGCTAACGTTAGCTAACCTTTACTTCTTTCTGCGGACTAGCATAATATTTACTCCAAACTTATGTGACATTTACTGTCGATATATTCAGAAAAGAACGGCTGTACCACCACAGCTATATGGTTTGTCCTTCTTCTGTGAAACGTTTTGGTTCTGACACTATCGGTGATAAGAGCCGAGGATGCTAACACGAGTTACTACAGGTCGCATTGATCAGCTCAAAACAAGGGTTAAACGTTACCTTGTACAGAGTCACAGATCTGGCCGAGTCGGTGACGACGACATGGTCGCTGTCTCTCTCCTCTTCGATCCCTTGAATGCCTGAACTTGACAGATTTTGATCTGGAACGAGCCCGCACAACGTGTATCCCTCATACAGCGCTGCCATGATGGACGAGAAGAAAGTGGAATGCGGCGGATCTCGCGAGAATAGAGGAAAGCTCAACCGGAACCACGAGACCGCCTGCAGCTGCAGCGTGGATTTAAGAGCGTGAGAAATAAGGCATTTCAATAAATGGATCAATCAGATTTTAATTATATAGCATTTTCATATATATGACATGTAAAAGAAAGTGCTTTATAGATTAAAAGCGTCAAATGCAATAAAATTGTACAAACAATATAGATTTTTGGTTTAATTATAATTAAAAGCCAGAACCAGAAGAACTGATGGTTCCAGAGGCAGTTAAGAGGGTACAAAACGTATTAAACTCACCCAGAAATTACCAATATTTATGGATTTGTTTTATATATAAAATAAAGAAGTTATCTCTTTTGCAATTGTCCTGTAGGTTATAGCCACTAAACTATGACTCTTGTGACTTTTGGCAAGTGGAAAATGGTATTATGTAAGTTGAACTGGTCCTTTTAAAGCTATTAAAGCTTTTAAAAAAGGACTGAATTGGTTCATGTAGAACACATAGGAGGTAAAATTATTCAGAGACATGAGGATAATTACTTTTGTCGCCTGCAATCAGGTTTTGGCAGACCGTCACTTTTAGGCACAACAGCAGACCACAATCATCTGCTCAGATTCAAGCGCATCACTTACCTGCTACACAAGTCATCCAGACAGCAGACCAGACATCCTACCACAGCAATGACTATACAGAATCCAAATGATGGGACTGTGAGTTGCATTTTTATGGACACCTGCACGCACAGGAATAAAAAGGAAATGAAATGGCAGACAAAGGAACAAAGGAAGTCACAAAAACATGTTCACATTTAAAAATAACATCAGCAGGACAGAAATTAAATGCATCATCATGTAGAGACCGAAGGAAACGTTGCAAAAGCAATGGGAGGAAGAGAGGAAAGGAAGATGGTGCTACACAGAGTGCAGAGGAAAGTGGATAAGAGGAGAGAGGAAACAGTTACACCAAGACTGATGTTTAGACACACACGATTAAAATGTTCAAAACAGGAAAATACAACGCGTGCAGATGTGACTACTGCAGGGGAGGAAGAGACTGCAGAGCACATAATAGTACATTGTCATAGATATGACACAGAGAGAAGACAACCAATGGAAAACCTCAGGACAATAAAAGTAAACGTTGATTCCAGATTATATTTCAGTACCTCAGACAAACCAATTTAATTGAGAGGATAGCATTTTCAAGTTACACAGTCGTCCTCTTGATTACGCAAGTTAATCGAGAGGAAATATTCAAGATTTTATGACTTTATGGTTGGGCTGCAAGGTGGCTCAGTGGTTAGCATCGTTGCCTCACAGCAAGAAGGTCGCTGGTTCGCGTCCCGGTGAGGACACCCAGGATCTTGCTGTGTGGAGTTTGCATGTTCTTCCATGTAGCGTCGGTTCTCTCCAGGTTCTCCGGCACAAGTCCAAAAACATGTTGAGGTTAATTGGTGATTCCAAAATGTCCGTAGGTGTGAATGTGAGTGTGCTTGGTTGTCTGTCTCTAAGTGTAGCCCTGTGACAGACTCACAGGTGTCCCCTGCCTTCACCCTAAGTCAGCTGGGATAGACTCCAGCCCCCCCACGACCCTGGTGAAGTGTATAGATAATGGATGGACATTATAGTTCTTTTATTTGTTTTTAAAGTCACATGTGTTGTCAGCTGGGTACATTTTTGAACTTCTCTGTCTCTGTTTTAAATTGTACATTACGTTTTTATTTGGCTTTTGGTACCTAATACTTAGTATTCTAATAATTTTGTTGGGGGGGGGTTAAGGTTAATTTCATTCAATACAACTTTATTCTCTTCTACAAATTGATTGCTTTTGTACTTATTTTTGGTGCTACCTGACTGTTAATTTCTACAGAACATGGATTATTTTCAAATGTGCTATAAAAAAAAAATGTTTGATATTTTTTGGTAAGTACTGAGCCACTCTCCAGACCAATAGGTGGCGGTAATGCACCAAGTCACTGTTTGCCAACCGCCAAAACAGTAGTAGAAGAAGAAGAAGCAAAACCAGCAGCAGAAGAAGAAGAAGATGAATGAGAATAGGTAAAGAGGCAACTCAAAACATGGACAAGAAAGAAGCCAGAGCTGTGATAAAAGACCTACATAAAAAGGGAATGACGGCCAAAGAAATCCACAAAAACATGAGGAACGCCCTCGGTGAGCACTCTCCTTGTTATTCTACCGTAAAGAAGTGGGTTGCTGATTTCAAGCGGGGCAGAGAGAGCACCAGCGACGACCCGCGCTCCGGACGTCCAAAGTCGGCGACCACGCACGGTCAGGTGGAGACTATTCACCTCATGGTCATGAATGACAGACGTGTGACAGTCCAACACATAGCAGAAAGCATGGACATCAGCGTGGGCTCCGTTCACGCTGTTCTCACCGACGTCTTGGGGATGAGCAAACTGTCCGCGCGGTGGGTTCCCCGGATGTTGACACCTGATCAGAGGCTGAGGAGGATGGAAATCTCTAGGACGCTTTTGGATCGTTTTCAGGCTGATCCAGAGAAATTCATCGGCAGATTCGTGACCCAGTATGAGACATGGGTTCACCACTTTGATCCTGAGTCAAAGAGATGGAAACACATGGGTTGTCCAGCTCCCAAAAAGTTAAAGAAAGAGGCGTCTGTGGACAGAGTGAAGGCTTCTGTGTTTTGGGACAGTGAGGGATTGTTAATGATTGACTTCTTGCAAAAGGGTCAAACCGTTAAGGGGGACTACTATGCATCACGATTGCAAAAACTGAAAGAAGCAATCAAAGACAAAAGGAGAGGAAAGCTTCAAGCTGGAGTGTTGTTGCTCCAGGACTTTACTTCCGTCCACACAGCACAGGTGGAAGAAGCAGCCAAATGTGGCTTTGAGCTGTTGCCTCATGCACCTTACTCACCCGACCTGGCACCCTCTGACTTCTATCTGTTTCCTAAACTGAGATCCCACTTCGGCGGTCGCCACTTTCAGAGTGACGATGAAGTCATTCGTGCCGTTGAGGAGTATCTGGATGCTCAAGATGCGACCTTCTTCCGTGAAGGGATTGCGAAGCTTGAACATCGGTGGACCAAGTGCATTGAATTTAGAGGAAACTATGTTGAAAAGTAATGCAAAGACAATCTTTGTCCTGTGACATTTTCTTGTGAAGCCAAGAAATGACCTTCTGATATGCTACAGCTGCTGCTACCTGGATGGTTTAAAATCCCCTACGTGTATGATGGGTGACATATAAAAACACTCTGATTTTAATAAGAATTTGTGTCTGAAATGCAGAAGAGGAACCAAGTATACATGTCATTAAGACAAATTAAAGAAGCTGTACGCAAAATGTCACAAACAAGATATGGTTTTTCCATAAAAACACTTAGATTACCTTTCTTGTAATTACACATTACCTGTGGCTCAGGTGGTAGAGCGGGTGGTCCTCTAATTGCAAGGTTGGTGGTTCGATCCCCTCCACAGTCGAAGTGTCCTTGGGGAAGAAGGCACTGAACCTGAAGTTGCTCCCAATATATGGCAGCTCTGTTGCCATTGGTGTATGAATGTGTGTGTGAATGGGTGAATGAGAAACACATTGTAAAGTGCTTTGGATAAAAGCGCTATGTAAGTGCAGACCATTTACCTCCTCCATTGAAAGAATTCATAATATATAAATATGCAGAAATTGATAATAATTGATTAGATTTATGTAGCGCTTTTCTAGCGCATACACTGTCAATTATTCATTCACACATTCATTCCGGTGATAGTAGCTATGATTGTAGCCACGGCCGCCCTGGGACAGACTGACAGAGGCGTGGCTGCCCTTCAGCGCCTACACCACCTCAAACGATCCATTCATACACATTCACATCAGGCAAGGTGAGTTGTCTTGCCCAAGGACACAACAACCATGACACAGGTTACAGAGCAGAATCGAACCGCCAGCCTTCCAGTCACTGACCGACCCGCTCTACCACCTGAGCCACAGCCGCCCAAATATGTTTCATTTCAAATATGTTTCATTTTTAGCTCAGCCTTGTTGAATGTGCAATATTCAGATAGAGATGAATATAAAAACATTTCAACCATTTTCACTTGTTTGAATTCTTTGTTTCCTGTTAACTAACAGAATCAAAGTTAACTAGTTGATAAAGCTAACAGTGTTTTATACAAACTGTCATGCAGCTCATGTATGTCAGTAACAACTAAATGTTTGTCTCATGTGCTCTATGTTAGGTCATCATAGACCAAAGGACTTGACCTTGACATTCTTAAAACCATGTTTCATGTTGGGCTTTTGTCTGTACAGTGCAGTCACAGATGACATATTGATTTATTATATATTGCCTACATACAGTAGCTCCCATGGCTTGATCAGTTTTTAAACAGAGTACACAGTATTCGTTTTCCCTTCTGTCACGTAGGTTCCAGGACTGGTGTCACAAAAGATACATTTTAAACCCAAACTACAAACTATGAGTTTTCCCCTTCAGATGATCAACCAGCACGTCTACAAAGAGATCCTGCGGCGTTTGCTTCGTTCAGAAGAGGCCAGAGCTGTGGCGGGACAAGTCGTGGTTGCTTCACCATGACAACGCGCCTGCTCGCACTGCCCTGAGCATCCGACAGTTCCTGGCTGAGCAGAACATCGCCGTGGTGGAGCAGCCTCCCTACTCACCACACCTGGCTCTGTGGGATTTGTTTTTCCTCTCCCCCAAGCTCAAGGGGGTCATCAAGGGGACCCGTTTTGAAGACGTGGACGACATCAAGATGGCTGTGACGACGGAGCTGCAGAAGATCCTGGAAGAATCCTTCCAGGAGTGCATGGCGGCGTGGCAGAGAAGGCTGGGGAAGTGTGTTTTCGAAGGGTGAAAACATGTAGTTTGTAGCTTGGGTTTGAAGTATATCTTTTGTGACACCAGTCCTGAAACTTTTCTGACACATCTTGTATTGACCTTTCACAAGACTTTTGGAAGATAATGGCAGCTTGCATGTAAATGCGCTACTTGGACCATTTAAATTCATCACCTTCCTAAAACAGAGACTTTACAAAATTCCAAAGAACTTTTCACACATATAAGAAAAACATCTGTATCTACTTACATCTCATCTTATTTTGTTGAATGCTCATTTCTGTATTGTTTTGTCCATGTCACCTTTGGCAGGCTAAAAATATGTATTTTGTTCTATTTAACAATTTGAATGTCTGTGAATTATCAACAGAAAATGAAGTGTAACTAAATAACACACTACAAATGCAGCTTGAGTCAAACCATATTCTTTAATTTCATTCACCACAACACACCAACACTTCTTCTGTGTTGTGTTGGTTTTAACAGTCGTCGGAGGGTGTGATCTGCCACCGTTTCAGCACTGAGTGATTTCAGATGGAAGGGAACTTGAATGGAGGTTATAATTAATACCGCTGGGTTCTGGAAAGAGACAGATACACAGAATAAGTTAGAATGGGCACAGCTACCAGAACTCCTTCATATTTCAAGAGTGCAACTTTTCATCAAGTCACAGACAAAAAGAAGAGAGCTAGAAAATATGGTTCAGTTGTTCATTTTGAGAAAACTGACACCTGAAGCACCCATGTTTGCTGCTGTGCTTTGCTGTTTTTTGTAGAGTGTGATACTGGTAGCAAGTTTTTTGTTTTTTTTTTAATATGTAATTCCTATTTGGCCAAGTCTGGTGATTATTTGTACAAGACTGTAAGTATTTCACTTGTACATTCACTTTTTAAAAATAAAAAACATGCAATACTTGTTATATCAGGTTTAATTTGGGTAAAGCATTGCACGTACTGACTGACTGTTAGAATTGGGATGATCTGCTTGTATTAGTCTACTATTATTGTACTGTTATAATTTGGGAAAACTTGAAAATAGTCACCCCCCCCTAAAAAAAAAAAAGCAAAGCCAAAAAAAAAACAAGGCTATGTAAATGACAAAAAAAGACAGTAAGTCCATGTTGGCGAATATATAAATCAGCGGTTCTTTGTGCTACAGATCTCAAATTTCGACATTGGTACTCATATTTGTCTGCTATGATGACATACACTTGGACTTCTACTACACCATCACAGATTATGTAAATTAGTGTCAAAAACCTAAATGTTTTTAGCATTTAGCTTAAAATCTAGCACTAATGCAATACCTTAAATTAAACTAGAGAAACTACTGCTTGAGCTTATGTAAGTGAAACAATTGCATCTACAACACAATGGACATCCATCCATCCATCCATGATCTATACACCGCTTAATCCTCACTGGGATCGCGGGGGGGCTGGAGCCTATTCCAGCTGACTTAGGGCGAAGGCAGGAGACACCCTGGACAGGTCGCCAGACTATCACAGGGCCACACTTAGAGACAGACACACTCACATTCACACCTACGGACAATTTAGAATCACCAATTAACCTCAACATGTTTTTGGACCTTGTGGGAGGAAACCGGAGAACCCGGAGAGAACCCACGCTGCACGGGGAGAACATGCAAACTCCACGTAGAAAGATTCCGGTGCCCCCACCGGGACGCGAACCGGCAACCTTCTTGCTGCGAGGCAACAGTGCTACCAACTGCACCACACAATGGACACTATGCAAAAAAATATTTGTGATGAAAATTTTTACTTTCTTTCCTGGAAAATCATTTTTTGGCTCCAGAACAGACAGTTTTCAACTCAGCGACATGAGGCTTCACCAGTGAGCTCAATCTGTAAGTGGGCATGAACTGTATTGATGACATCCCCACAGCTCGTTTTTAATTAGTCAAACTGAGAGCGTTACAACTATCCCTTTCTTACAACCATCCCTGGTCTCCCCTACATTTGGTCAGCCCTAATCTGAAATAAAGATGCCTCTTGGATGAGATATAAAACATCTTCAAGAACCTCACGGAGAAGTCCAGTTGCTTTTTACTGAAGCACCTAAAATGACCCTGACCTGGCTGATTTAGCTCCATTTGGTTGATATTTAGCTGCTATATGAAATTTAAATGCAGCTAGTCATAGAATGTGCTCGTTTTATTGCGATTAATTCACCTTCAGACATTACAAACTCGCACTGATGTCGAAAGCTGTATTTATTTTGTTTGTGATCATAAAAATATGCTCAAGTAAAGCACATCTATTAAAACAAAAACAGCAAAGTACTGTACACGATCCCTGTGTCAAAACCTACTGAGGACATTTATCATTTTAGCACATATTGATGCAAATTCAACTGATATAAACAAGTATATATATATATATGGTGTATAAAATGCACAGAAAACGGCAGCGACAGGGATTTATTTGTGACTCAACAGCTCATCTTCTCAAGTAGGTCAATCCAGCCAAGTCTGTGTCAGGTGGAGGTCTGTTCTACTTTATTTTCTGAAACAATAAAGTGCTTATGAAGCACATTTCCACTGTTTTTAATTGTACTTAAATAGCTGACACTGCAAACTTGGCACTTGACACGACCGTGACGCTTTGACAAAGAGAAGCTCTCGTGTTCTAATGTGCTGTTTAATGATGTTATATTCAGATTTAAAAAAAAAAAAAAAGAAATCTGCATCACCTTTGAAACATTCAGGGATTGGGAGTCTTCCGTCGATGCACTGGGCTGGCACGGCATATCCACATTTCCTGGCCTCGTTCATGCAGTAGACCGAAACTATATCTTTGTGTAAGACTTTGTTTGGATCGAAATCTCCAATCCACATTTTTCTTCCTTTGTATAATATCCTCCCTCTGTTGATGCCAACCCTGCAGGGAGCTGTAAGTCAGAGGATGAGGAAAGAAAATCTATTAGAGATTGTGGCATTTGAAGAAGAAGCTTTAATATATTTACCAGTTGTATCATATTGTTGTAAGAGTCAGAACAGGAAAAAGAAAGTAGTGGAATGTGATAGGACAGGATTAACACCAACAGAAGTTACAGAACAGAGGAGGAACAGATTAATGTTGCTTCTGTGACACTTCCTTTAATAAAGATTCTGTATTACACACACATCGCAGTCAGATGTTCTTAACATAGCAGAATCTCCCAAGAAACCCTTTCCTTATATTTCCTCGCTATAAAAAGATTATCATATTGGTTGCAGTCTTACCCTTGCAGGATGGTTTTTCAGACCAAGTCCCATCCTGCTGACAAACAATCTCCATACTTCCCTCCAGCACATAGTCTCCATTGCAGCCATATTTGACTGTTTCCATGTAGTCATAGTTTCTCTGGTCTCTGGTTGACATGTAGCCTCTGGCGATGTTCTGCGGTGGAGGACAGGTCACCGCTGTGAAGGAACAGTTTAGTCCATTAATAAAAACACAGCAAAACACGTCTTCTATCTGTGTGTGTGTGTGCAGCAGATTTTTATTTTTGTTTTTTTTTAATAATTCTTTGCTCATAATGTTGTAAGTTGATGATAAATTTCCCTTGAAGATGATGGAACTCTGCATAATTATGATCCTCTAAATGGGGGAAAGTACGTTGCTTTCCCACCATTTGGCTACAAACTCACATCCGTATTCTCTGAGACGATCTTGTTGACTGCTTCGTCTTAATTTTTCTCGTTACAAGACACAGATTTTATCTAGTTTACCTGTTTGTCCATTAATGAAATGTTCACTCATCCATCCTGTCTTTGTAAAAAACATATCCAGGCTATGATTATTTTGTTAACTGAGTTATCATTTGTGAGTATCAGTGGAGTTTTGTGAAGAGGGGTTGAGACACTCATGATCGATAAATGAATCACATAGAATATTTTAATTATTATTGTTTTTTTGGTACACTTTAAAAAAATGTTTTGCACCACTACATCTAATATGTAGACAAATTCTTAGTTTCCAGACCGTCACTGAGTGTGCAGGGTTTAATGGCATCTAGTGGTGAGTTTGAAGACTGCAGTTCAATAGTAATGCAGAGTAGTGACGTTTCGATACCACCAATTTCCTTTCCGATCCGATACTGAGTAAAATGCAGGCTGGTATCGGTGATACCGATCTGATACCGACACTTTGTGCAAATAAACCTAATGTGTCTGGTAAATGTAAAAAAAAAATAAAAAAAGTAGTGAATTTCAAATCATAGCTTCATAATTATACAAGACATCAGAGCAATTTATTTATTTTAAGTTCTGAAGTATATTGAGGTAGCGGCCTCATTTACAATATAGCCGAGCTAATACAACAACAGAAAACCCAAACAGAGGTAAAATATATAATAGTTTGTCAATACCTACATTTGAAAATATTCATTGAACAGTTCAAGTAAATTATACTGATTGTAAATGTTTTATAGATGAAATGTTATTTTTTAAATCCATCTTTTCTAGTATATATTTTTCTAAGCTCACCATGGCTGTTTTATCGCAATTGCTCTGTGTAATTTAATGACACCTGGTCTATGTAATCCACTTTAAATGATCAGTTCTTTGGGAAGCCATACCTGAATAAATCTAGGCTTTGTTGCCAATGTGAGATTATCTCAGTGATACACATATTACTACTTCACGCTGAACTCATGCAAGTATTTGTTGAAGCATGTATTTATTTCGTTAACCATATTTATTCATCTGAACAGCTCCAACAGCAACAGGTTCCTCCCTCTGTACCTGGATAGTGCTGCCTGCAGCGGAAGAAAAAGTATTTCCCATCAACTGCTGGTCATTAAGCCTCAATAGTTTAGTTACTTTCCGCTGTGCTCCTGGTAATGATGTACATTACCTCAAATGACTGAAGTATTAAAAGTATCGATATTTTGATTTGAGAATCGATTTAAAGCATAAAGATCCGGTATCGGAAGTATCAATATTTCAGTATCAATCCGCACATCACTAATGTAGAACAGTGTACACTAGCTGCTTCAAGGTCTGATCTATAACTGGTGTTTGGTTTATTGCAGAAACATGCTGGTGCAAAACATAATTCTGAATAATGTAATCCATTTTTGCCAGTAGAAAACCCTAAATCCCACACACTGGACCTTTAATTTGAAAGTCTTCACTGTGTATTGGTGAGCACAGATTTAATATTTAGGATTCAAATTTGTTCTGAAAGAGCAGATTTTTATTTTTTATTTTTTATTATTTAAAACATATTCTATTAAATTCTCCCAACCAAAAAGTTGTAAAGTGCAACTGAAGTCTTGTTCTTTCTTCTGTGAAATAATCTGTGATGACCTTTGGTTGCCTTCTATAGTGTTTGATTTTGTGTTTGCTGCTTTGGAAAAAATGAAAATTTAAACATTCCTCCAAAATCTGTGGTGAGTTTTGTTTTTCATCCTCTGTTACCAAAATCAAATTTGACATTTAACACATCAAACACTATAAGTCTTGATCCGTTGTAGAAGGCTGAAATGTACCTTTTTTTAAGTTTCCTTTTGCCTTAAACGGGTGGTTCCGACCAATCAACACAAATTGCAAAGCCGCTATAAATACTCGACTTTCATACCTTTACACTCGGGTGTCTCAGTCCAGGTGCCGCTGGCCGTGCACTGTGCCCTTGCGTTGCCAATCACTACATATGGAGGATGGCATTTGTACGTCCCTGTGGTACCGTATTCAGTGGTGTTCCCTCTGACCCTCCTGTCATAAACTATCATCCCAAACTGTGGGACTGGAGCGAGACCACAGGACACCGCTGCAACAGAACACACACAATATGCTCATTTTTACATATGTACTGGTACATACTTGTCCTGTAAGTGTTTTCCTATTGTTTATAAGTAAGTGTGTATAAGTAACTGAGTGATTTCTAATTTGTGGTTAATTTCTTCAAAAGAACATCAAGTTAAAGGGCAACATTTCTCAGTGATAGCAACTTAATACATGCTTTTTTTCTTGGACACAGGATCACATACGTGTGCACGCTGGTGCAAGTGTGCTCCACGTTCCATTGGCTTGGCACACGGCAGTGGTGGATCCGTTCAATACGTAGCTGTGCAGCGCCAGAAAACACAACAAACACAATCAGGTGAAATGCATTCGAAGCCAAATCAGAGGAATATTATTTTCTGAACCTACTTTGCATTATATTATCTTCTAGATGGAATCTAGAACCTCATTAGAGACACAAAATACACGTGTGTACATAAAAATACATGTGTTTAAACATTAAACAGCAGCCACTGCACCTCTGGGAGTTTTATCTGCAGTGTATGGCCAAAGTTCTGACACTTTAACGAGGTGTTCTTGCTTTACCCTTCATGACAAGTATAGTTGATGGTACTCTTGAAGACAGTATCCTCATAGTACAAATCTCCATTAGACGGTGCATCAGGATAAGGACACCGCTTTGCTGCAGGAGAGAATATCGTAAAGAAAACGTGTGTAAATGGAACATTTTGCTATTTAATTATTGCGTTAACAAATATTTCATGACATGTTTTCTGCGATGGTCAGTAAAAGTCATCACATCCTGAATCCATAGAATTGTCAGACTCCTACTATATTCACATGTTTTTGCTACAGATTC